CTGTGCCTGGAGCACAGAGGGAGGAGGAGAATCAGAGAGTTGTTGTTGTGTTGCTGTTGTCAGTTGCCTTCGAGTCAGTTCCGTCCCATAGCAACCTCAGGCACAACAGAATGACACCCTGCCCTGCCCCGCACCATCCTCACAATCGTCTCCATGTTTGAGCACGTGGTTGCCGCCACAGTGTCAGCCCATCTCCTTGACTGCTTTACCACATAGAACCTTCTCCACAGACTGGTCTCTTCCTGACAGGTCCAAAGTATGTAAGACAAAGTCTCACCATCCATGCCCCTAAGGAGCACCCTGCCGTACTTCTTCCAAGACAGATGTGTTTGTCCACGGAACTTCCAATATTCATCTCCAGCATCACAATTCACATGCATCGAGCCTTCTTGGGTCCTCGTTATTCAATGCCCAACTTTCACCTACATATGAGGCAGTAGAAAATACAGTGAACCCTCTTCAACTTCCGCGGCTTCACTCTATCGCGGTTTTTGCGTAACAGCGCATGCTCTGTAATTACTGCCACTGATTGGCTCATACTGTACACGCTTCTGTCTGCATCGCTACGTATCGGAACTACGTATCAGATGCATTTTTGCTTTTGTACAGTGTACTGTAATTGTTTGCGATTTTTAAGAAATTTTATCTAAGCCCTATGATGGCTCCTAAACGAGCTGCTTCTTCTAAGCCTTCTGACAATAAAAATAAGTGCCAGAGGAAGATGCTCACCATCCAGGGAAAGGTAAAACTTTTGGATATGATCAAAGATGGCAAGAAAATCGTGGAGGTTGCACGCCATTTCGACTTGAATGAGTCTTCCGTTCGCTTCTTCCGTTCGCTCCATCCGTAAAGAGGAAAAAAACATCCGTGCTACGGCTACTTTCACTTATAAATGATAATTGTAACATCCAAAATGTTTTACTGTATTTTCCCTTTTTCGTTTAATAAATTGGGTAATACAAGTGTAATGGTGACTAAAGGGTGTTTTTTCATGTCCTCTATGCTCTAACTACGAAAATATTTGATTTACAAATAAGGAATCCTACTTAGCGGAATTTCATTTATCACAGTAGGGTCTAGAACCAATTAACCGCAATAAACGAGGGTTCACTGTACCACGACTTGGGTCACACACCTTAGTCCTCAATACTCGAAAGAGGTCTTGTGCAGTAGATTTACACAATGCAACTCTAATTTTGATCTCTTAACTGCTGCTTCCATGAGCATTGATTATGGATCCAAGCAAGACAGAATCCTTGATCACTTCTATCTTTTCTCCATTTCCCATGATACTACCTTTCGGTCCAATTGTGAAGGTTTTGGTTTTCTCTAAATTGAGTGATAATCCACACTGAAGGCTTCAATCCTTGATCTTCATCAGCAAGTGCTTTCATTCCTCCTCGATTTCAACAAGCAAGGTGGTAGTATCTGCATATCACCTTCCTTCAACCCCAGCGTCACACTCTTTTTCATATAAGCCAGGTTTTCTGATGATTGGCTCAACGCACAGATTGACGAAGTATGGAGAGAGGATACAGCCCCGACGCACACCTTTCCAGATTTTAAACCATGCAGTCTCCCCTTGTTCTGTTCATACAACCGCCTCTTGATCCAGGCACAAGTTGTGCATGAGCACAATGACGTGTTCTGGGATTCCCATTCTCAAGGTTATCCACAGGCAAATGCTGTGACACAGTCAGTAAGACACAAGTAAACGTCTTCCTGGTAGTCTCAGCTTTCAGCCAAGATCCCTCAGACATCAGTAATAATATCCCTGTTCCACATCCTCTTCTGAATCGGGCCTGGAAGATTAGGACAATGGTTCTCAACCTTCCTCATGCCAAAACCCTTTAATACAGTTCCTTATGTGGTGGTGACACCCCCCCCCACCCCCCACCCCCCCGCAACCATAGAATTATTTTTGTTGCTACTTCATCACCGTCATTTTGCTACTGATATGGATCGGCGACCCAGGTTGAGAACTGCTGGAATGGGAGGAAGATACGACAATCGTAGAAGTTTGCTGTCCTTACTGATCATTTTAACCAAAGATCCCATAGGAAAATTTTGGTGAAAACAGGAAAAATACAAAGCAAAATGCCAACTAGTTGTGTACTTTCTGGAGCCATAGAAGGTAGGTGAACCTCTGAAAACATTTTCTTGAGGTCATTTTAAACCTTAAACCAAAAATATCCCCTGGAGTCATCTTAAAAGCCAAAAAAATAGCTTAACAAGTTTTAAAAGTCTGCCCTCTGCATTGTGCCCTTTTAAGAACTACCTTGATGGGATCCCCTTGGAAAGGGAGCTAGAGAGAGTGAAGAGGAACCCGAGGTGGCGGTGAGCCTGTGTTGACATGGGAGAAACCACTCCGAAATGGAGAGTGAGAACGGCCGTAAACCTGAACTGATGTGTGTTTGGCTGTGTATAACCTCAACAAGAACAGTTTTAAATGTAAAGAAAAATTCACATATCAAAAGGAATTTATTCAGTTATTTTAGGAGGTAGCATAAGATCATGAGCCGATGGATTTGAAGGAAGAAGTTCAAATGACACCGAAGGCATTGTGGAAAAATAAGGCTACGGCAATTGATGGAATACCCGTGGAGTTATATCAAGGAACAGCTCCATCACTGGAAGTGATCACATGTCTGTGCCAGGAAATGTGGACTACAGCCACGTGGTCAGCCAATTGGAAGGGAGCCATATTTGTACCCCTTCAAAAGAAAAGCAATCCAACAAAATGCAGAGATTACTAAATAATATCACTGACTGTGCTCAAGGTAGTTTAAAAATGATTTTACCAGTACATCCACAGGGAACTGCCAGGATTCAAGCTTGATTCAGAAGAGGACGTGGAACAAGAGCTCTCATTGCTAATGTCAGCTAGATCTTGGCTTGACTGAAAGCAGAATATACTAGAAAAATGTATGGCTGTGTGGATCATAACACATTCTGGATAATACTGTGAAGTGGGAATTGCAGAACTGCATTCAAATGGAACCAGTACTTAGACAAAGAATCAGTTCTTTGACCAGACAAGAGGACTGTCTATGGTTTACAATCAAGGAAAGTGTGCATCAGAGTTGTATCCTTGCACCATACTTACCCAGTCTGTATACTGAGCAAATAACTCAAGCAGCTGAGCTGTATGAAGAAGAATGTAATATCAGGACTGGAGGCAGGCTCGTTTAACAACCTGTAACATGCAGGTGACAGCAAAGAGAACTCCAAACCCTTACTGATGACGATTAAGCACCATGCGCAGCCTTCTGTCTGATTGTACGTCCCCATAAGGCAAACAGAAACCCTCCCAGCTGGCTCAGGAGACAGCATCGTGAGAAATGCAGAAACTACTGGAGTTGTCAAAACCTCATTCTCGTTGAATTTGTAGTCAACTCAATGGCATCAAGCAACAAATCCACACAATGGGACATAGTTCAGCCCTAAAAAGAAATAGAATTGCTTCTTTGCCATTTGGCTAAGATCAAGTGCAAGAGGAAATGGAGCCCAACTGACACATGCTAAAACTTGTTAAGCGCTGCAAGCCAACCCCAGAGGACCACCTATCGTATCATTGCATTCATACGACATGCCCGGGCTGGGGCACGCTGTAGAGACAGGAAGTAGATTTGTGGTCACCAAGGTTGGGAGAACAGGGAGCTTGATGGTGATGGCTAAGCATCTTTGGGTTTCCTTTTGGATAATGAAGCTATCCTAAACCTTATTGTGATGATGGATGTTCTAAAAGCCACTGAAGTTTATACATCCAATGGGTGGATTGTATGATATGTGACTCACAGCTCACTAACGCTGTTAAAATAGACCAGCTCGGTGGGGAAAAGGGCAAAAAAACGTGCCCAAGCATTTCACACGGGTGCCCATTAGAGAGCTGACGAGATTTCTTGCCCAACCTCCCTCCCACGTCAGAAACTGCTCATTAAAACCCCAGTGGGCTGCGCCAATCCCCAGATTGGCCCATGGCCATTATTTCGAGAGGTTGAAGATGGAAGGATTTATGACCCAGCAACCCCACTCTTCCACGCCTGCCTAGATACATTGCTTGAGTTTGACAGCACGCTGTGACTGCTCTGGAGATGAGCTCGAAGAGGCTCATGCCCGCTGCGCCTCAGTGTGGAATTGTGGGCCGACATCCAAGGAGGACACGAGGTTGGCCGGGAAATGGGAGTTGAAAGACAAAGGAACCTTCTCACAAGATTCTGGAAGCTCCCTCCTAAGCTTATGTAGTAGGCAAATTTGCCTCTGGAAACACGATCCAAAGGGGATCCAGTAGCAGTACGAAGAGGGGACAGGGTTCTTCGGGGCAGTGAGTATGTTTGACGTCAAAGAGGAGGAGCCACTCAGGGAAGGAGGAGGGAGGATGGTTATACATGGAGAATGTAATCAGTGTCTCGGAAATGAGGCTGTCGGCGTTGTATATGATGAATTGATAAGTTATACTGTATGCATTTGATACTTACACTAAAGACAGATGTTTAAGAGGGGGAAGGACAGATGGCTAAACACTAAAGTCAGGGTCATCAGAATACGAGGCTGTGGACCGGTCTCGCAGAGGCTTCAAGGTTAACAGTAAGATTGACGGATGGTGGGCATGAAGGCGTAGCCGTGGGGGCGGTGGGCTGAAAGCACAATATGATCAGACTATAGGACATTGAGGGAAGATGTGGAAAAACCCAAAAGCCTATATAGAAGGGGTCCATGTAGTTGGATGGTTGTCAGTGATGGTGACCCTGTGTTTCCAGCGAAGCTCACAGGGGTGGCATCTTCTGTCGACGAGCTAAAGGGACGGATTGTTTTCAACCTGGAAAAGGAAACGCTGAGCAGTACATCCACAGCGAAAGGAGACACCCGCCCCCTCCCCCGGTTTCTAAGGAACGCGGTTGAACCTCAACTTCTCCATCCCTCGGGGATGTGACCACACGTTACCGCCTGTGAGTCGGGCCCTCATTTCAGTGACTGAGCAGTCACCTTTGTCATTTCAGATCCTGTTCACACTAAATGATGAATCACACTTGGAGGAAGGACAACACACCCTGATCCTGGTCACGTGGCTGAGAGTGCTACAGGGGCGCCGCCATGTTTGGGGTGGGGGCTGCCCCAGAGTCCCCAACTGTCTTCCAGCCCAAGTGGTGGGAGGTGGTTGCCCGTCAGCCAGGCCAGACTGGCTGGGACGACGACAAAGCAAAGCAGCTGGGTTCTGTTGAGCCTTGGCCATGGGGACGTCACTGACGCACTTCCCTGCCAGGGCACCTGTGCTTCTAGACTTCCTGTATTCCTCCCGCTCCCCAACCCTGCTACCCAACAGAGGCGATATAAACCAGGCTCTTTGGCTATTTGCATTTGGCTTCCGCGTCTTTTCCAGATTGCAGTGTTAAAGCTCTATCTTCTCCCCATCACCTCCTACCAAAGGCCTGCATCCCTTTCCAAAGGGGTGAGGGGAGAGGGGACACCCCCTCACCCACTGCCCCCCGTATTGCCAGGGACTCCGTCTCAGGGTCAAGGAGAGGCACTGCTGACCAAGGGAGCCAGGGAAAGGCATCCTTTGGAATTACTAATTTCTAAGATTAATAAAATAATTCTATTTTTAGTTTCTTTTTTTTTTCTGGGCCTCCCCCCCCCCCCCCCATTTTCTAATTTCTCAACCTTTGGAATTCACGAGAAAGATGGGAACAAGACCAGCTTCTCATTTCAGCACACCGGGCATTTTGGGAACTTCATTTTCAGAGTGTGAACTATAAAGAGATAGTTTACATTCACATATTGTTGCAGCCAATGGTGGGGCAGTTCCCACTCCCCAGGGGCAGTTCCCACACTGCACTGGAGGAGCCTGGGAAGTCCACATGTCTCCATACTCGGGTGCACGGCAGGCTCCCCCCATCTGCAGTTTCCCTGAGCTGTTCATCAAATGGCTGCACCTGGGCCCACTGTTTGCTCTCTTGCCTGGCCCTCTGCACTCACGGTTCCTCATCAGTCCCACGTTCTCCCCCTGGTTTCTACGAGAAAAGGCTGGAGGTTGGGCCCCTGAGCCCACTGAAGAACTGACTGCACTGCTTTGGAGGAGTTCAGGGGTGCGAATGTAGGTTCTGAGGTTTCTACAAGATGTTATAGACCCAGAATCGGAATCCCAAAAGAAAACTGATACCCAAAGAGGCAGCGACAAAAGGACTTGTTTTATTACCATCCAGTGCTTTGGGCAGACTGGGGCATTTGCTGCTAGTGAGGGAGGAGGCTGAGATCCATTGGCTGCGGGGGAGAGGAAAAGATATATTTTAAATACTCTTAGGATTTGGGGGCTGTAGTTTGAGGAGCATCTTCACTGTTGGCTCATTTGGTTGTCAATTGTGAGGAGACAAATAGGGTTTCTCCATGGCATCCTGCTGCTGAGTAGCCCTAACTGGGAAAGGGATTTGGGGAGGCCTACCTTACAGACCCATGTAAAAGAAGTTAGACCCACTGGAGGGCTTGGAATTACGTAGTAACCAATCACAACGGCCCAGCAGCCAATCTGCACTGATCCTCAGGCAAAGGGCTCACTGCGGGCACTCGGTGCTGTTTAGATGCTAAGACCGGACTCCAGATCTTTGCTTTCACTGACCCAGGTCCTTCCCAAGCCGCCTGGTCAGACAGAACCGCCCCACCGGGCTCCTCTGTAGGAGCGGATGGCCAGGCCTTTCTCCTGTGGAACCCTGGTGGATCCAGGCCACCAGCCTTTCAGATGGCAAGCACGCACTTACTCCTTGTAGCAGCAGGGCTCCCTGCCATCCACAGTGAGCATTTGTGATGGACACATCATGGTCCACGCTTCTGCAGTGCCTCATAAGTTGGGTGTGGGCCGGCCCTGGACTACAGCTGATTCAGGAGAGCACTGTGCGATCAATAGGACATTTGGCACCTGAGGGGACTGCATTCTTCCGGGGCGAACCCCGGGCAACACATCTGGCTGATGGTTCACTGGTAGGAACCACAGGCCAGTGTTCCCGGCCAGGCTGACCTCAAGGTCGGGGAAGACAGGAGATGGTGTGTATGAAGGCTCTTCCTAATTTAAGCCTCAGGTCAGGACCGCCAAGGCCAGCGGCCAGGCAGGGCTCTCCGAATGTTGCTTTCAGGCAACCGGCAGCCTTCCCCAGCCCCATCGGCACCTGAGCTGCAGTCTTCTGCATTTGAGGAAGCCTTTGGGTGATTTCCACCAACGCTGAAATCCGAGACTGCCTGTCCGGGGGAAGACTGCAAGCGGGGATGGCTGCAGCCACGGCCAGAGTGAGTTGGGGTGAGCCCAGTGCTGTCAGTCCGACCCACTGACTTCCCTGGCGATGGAGCACGACGTCGCCGGCCGTGGTTTTAGGGCAGGGACACGGGGACACGTACCCCTCAAGGGGGTACGGACAAAGCAGGGGGGAAATCCAGCTTTTATTTTGGGAAAACTCCCAAAGGAACACGATCGTACACGCACGCACACAGAAGCAGGCACGTATCGGCTGACCTCCACATTTGCACGTGGGATGGGCATTTTTCCCAGTGGTAAAGCGCTCTCCATTGAGGCCTGTTTTCAGATCACTCCAGCTGGCGCGTCACAGCGTGCTCGCTGCAGGTGGACGTGAACTGGGCGCGTCACTCAGCGTGCTCGCTGCAGGTGGACGTGAACTGGGCGCGTCACAGCGTGCTCGCTGCAGGTGGACGTGAACTGGGCCCGTCACAGCGTGCTCGCTGCAGGTGGACGTGAACTCAAGAGACTGCTGCACTGCTCTGGGCGGGACTGCGCCTCGCTTGCCCTGTTCTGCCGCCAAGAGGCCCAGGGTTTCTGGTTTCACTGATAACAGAATTAACCTGTTCTGAGCCCGTTTGCTGCAGATGATGCAGTTTTACAAAGGGGGGATATGTTGGTGACAGTGTGTGAGAGTAGCGCATGTTCATCTGCAAGCGGTCCCGCCAGAGGACGCCTGGGGTCCTCGGAGGTCAGGCTCATTCTGAGCACCTGCCTCTGTGCGGTCAAGAGTAATAGTAACCCCCTGCGGGCAGAAAGCGGGCATGAGCCATGGTGCCATCTTTCCAGACTGCCGAGGGCAGCCCCCAGTCTCCCCCGCCGCCCAGGGTACTCACGCCCAGCAAGTGTATTGGGCATCAGAGCAATTCTCTGCCCGGATTCCACTGCCCTCTGACTGGTGGCTGTGGGCCCACAATTAGCAAAGGGTAATTAATTAAGGATGGTGTCGAGTCAGGCTTTACCTCAGAGCAAGGCTTTTACTGTGCTAGAAACAATCTTCCAGAAGAGAAAATGATCCAAGAGTCCACATATTTATTTATGCAAAGATTTTGAGAGTAATCATTGTCGTCTTTACACCTCAGTCTATGTGCCTGGGGCCAAGTCAGCTTGGGCCTCATGTGCAGTTCCCCCCAAATGCCACCCATGCCCCACCTGCTGCCCGCAACACCAAATGAACACAGGGTCTTGGAGAGCAGTGGGGGGGGGGGGGCCTGGATGCCCCGAGGTTACACGGACCCACAATCATGGAAGGTGTCTAGCCCAATGTCCAAGGGGAGATACAATAGAGAAAGATGAGAGGGCCCCAGAGGGCAGAGAGGAGATTTCATTCCCACCCCCTGCTGCTGAGCCGAGCACATCCACTGGGCCCAACTGGGCTGAAGGCCCAGCACCCTGTAATGGCCCATGATGCTGAGTAACATAGAGAGGACAATTTGTAAAAAGGACGGTTTGTCCTTGATCCCAGGTAGTACCTGATACAATTCTTTGAGACTCGCTCGGTGCTCTGGCTGCAGGAGAATTTCTGTGACATGATCCAGATTCCCTCGAGCAGAGGTATGCAGTGGTGAGATCAGAAGTGTCTTCCAGTCTGGCCCTGGCCCCAGCCCGTCCTGCCCGCTAGGCTGCCCCACATCCCATTACCAGCACCACATGTCCACTCCTCATCCCTCTTCCTCCGTCCCCACCTCCAAATGCATCACAGATCTGCGTGTCCTGAAGAGTCTGGCCCTCCCCTAACCAAGCCCCCACTTCCTTGACCACAGCGCTTCTCAGAGCCAGCAAAAAGAAGTGTCCCCAGAAGGAACCTCCATCTCAGCCGTCTGCCTGGAGCCGTGGTTTGGGGGCTCCAGGCCTGCACTGAGGTCTGTTGTGTGACCCGAGGAGCAGGCGGCCAGCGGTGGCAGCGCGCTCTCCCTGCTCACTGGGTCTCCAGTGGTGTCTCAGCTACACTTGCAGGACTTCACTACCATGTTGGAGAGCTGCTCCACCTTGGGGGTCCTCCCGACGTAGTACAGGATGGTCAGGGGCTCCAGGTCCTGAGGCACACAGCAAGGGGAAGCGGAGGCTTCAGGGTTCAAGGTGTTGTACAGCCCGAGCACCTGGGAAGGGAGACAGGGAGACGTGGTTGAGCGCTTGGAAAGGCAAGGCCCACCCGGAACACATCCAGCATCCAGGTTACAGTGTGGGTGTCTGCTTTTGCAGCCCAGGGCTCCCCCAGGGGGTGGTCGCACCCCCCACTTTGAGAAGCACTGCTCTAAGGGAGAAAGACCCCCACTGAATGCTGCCCCAGGTCATGAGTAAATGCCCTGTGCTGGCCGCCCCAGACAGATGCCCTAATCACGAGCCCAGAGGAAACGTGCTTCAGCAATCAGTGCCCCAGTTGGCCCTCTCCTTGAGGGAGAGACGGGCTGGTGCCCCAGTACCCGGCATTCTTTCTCTTGTGCTGCCGATGGACGGTTTTTACATGCTTTGTATTGCCTCAGAATCATTTTCTCAATTCAAGAAGCTAGAATTACCGGGTAGCCTCTCTACCTGAGCTTCCCTCACCAGAAGTTGCTAGGAGGCTCTGACACAGAGCCGCTGATTCGCTCCCAGGATGCAAAGGCTAAGCCAGTGAAAAGGCCAGGCTGAGTCTCTGGGAAGAAGGTGACCGAGAGGAGTTGAGCCCCAGAGCCGGGACTCAAGAGGGATGCTATTCACCCCAGAGCCTCAGCATTCAGCCCTCCCTCCACGCCTTCATTCTGACTGACATCCGGGTCAGTTCAGGCCCCGCCCCCCACGCGCCCAGCCCCGCCCCGTACCGTGCTGTGGGTTGTGTCTGTGCTGCGCAGGTAAGGGCACGGCCCCGAGCAGAAGTTGGCGAAGTAGCCCTTAGGTTCATGGACCCACTTCCAGCCCAGGTCCTGTCGGAAGTCAATGTAGAGAGGACGCACGCAGCAGTTCTCCTCCAAGTTGCTACAACAACAACAACGAGTATTGATGGAAAGTAAAAGGGTAAAAGCACCAACACAGGGAACTTCAGAAATGACCCCAGGTTTGTGAGTGAAGCTCTTCCCAGCCCTCGGCCGAGGTGGCTCTCAACAATGGAAGCCCAGGTTGAAGTTCCCCAAACCCAACCCAACCCACGACTCACAGAGACCCTGCGGGGCAGGGGAGAACTGCCACTGCGGGCTCCTGAGACGGGCACGCTTGATGGGAGGGGAAAGGCTCAAAAAACAAACCAGCCCCAAGGCACTGCCATGGAGTCAATGCTGACACGCAGTAACCCCTGACTGGAACCAGTTCCAGGAGTAGACAGTCCAGTCTTTCTCCCCAGGAGCTGCTGGTGGTTTTGAACTGCCGGCCATTGGGATTGCAGCCCGACACATATCTGCTCCATAACTGCTGATGGTTAAGGCTGAAGAAATCACAAAGGCATCTTCCTGTGTTAGAGACCAGGGTCCCAAGGGTACACGAGGGAGAACAGAGAGGCAAAGGTGGCCCTTTGCTTCTGTAAAAGGTTGAAGCGAAGATGTAGAGTGGCCCATAAACACGAAGTGCCACAGCCCACTGGGCTTTGGTGAGGTTGGGTTACCGATACCTCCCCAGTGGCACACAAGGAGAAATGGACTCTCGACTCCAGATGCAACTTGTAAACAATGGTACGTTGACTACTCAGGTTAAATGAAAAGAAAGCCTATCTTCTTGTTAGAATCCTAACCCTTAGGTCAGCCCAGCCCAGGTGTGACTGTCGGCCCCTTCAATTCTGTTGCCTACAGAAATCCATTTGGCCATACTCTGCCACATGGGTCTCTGGCCCCTGCTTCTATAGCTGATATCTAAGACTCGTTACTTCCAAAGGCAACTCTTGGCCACAAGCTGGCTTCTTGTGGGTTCCAGGTGTGGATCTGTGGCAAACTCCATGGGTCATTTATCCAGTAGGCATCTCCCATGACAGAACCTGGAAGGCCAGGTTTTCCTGACCTGCCTTCAGTGATGGCCAATCAGGCTTGTTTCTTTATTAAGAAATGTGGCTCTTCCTTGACACACAGACACACACACACTCACACACCCCAACCCACTCACCCACCCTTCCTCTCTTGAACAAATTGCCTGGAGCTCCATCAGTCACTTGCAACCATAAGTAAGAGGCTTTCTGGAAGGCCAACATCCTCAGCACAGTAGATTAGAAACAGGGTTCTCCATGGCCTAAAGAAGCAGCCAGGCTAACTCTGTCTGTACCGCCCAGGCTGCCTGTGCACAAGGAACCCCCTTATGGTTCAAGCCACTGTTACTTGCAGCCTAGTGCATCCCTGCCTGATCCAGAGCCATTCGGGACAAAACCCCCCGAGGGGACACTCTACCTTCTGTTCCCCAAGCTCAGCAGACCTCGTTCGTCCAGTTGTTCCCCTCCACACATTTCCCAGTCCGCCCTCCCAGCTTGGCCTGCTTCTGCTCTGTCCTTCACTGGAAGTGCTCTCTCCTCCCATATGTCTGACAACCCCCGGCCCCACTCATCCCTGAAGGCTCGGCCCAAAGCCCACACCCTTCTGAGGCCTTTCCTTGCATCCATTAATGGTCTCCCTGCTCCACATTCTGAAAGCACTTAAACCCTACCCTTCTCATGGACGTGGCCACGGCCATGAGTATACGGGTTGTATCCCCTCTCCTCTACGAACCATTCCCTAAATTGGAGACGAAGCTGCATCACGTCTTCTCTCTCTCTCTGCCCTGCCACTACCCAAACCTTTTCTAGTCTGTTCATTCCTCTAACTCAAAACCTCCCTTGCTCGTGGAGACCACCCTGTTCTTCCGCATCCAGGAGCATCATTGGTCCCTCCGTGGGAAACTGAGTCTGTCTTTCATGGGAATTCCTGCCTTCATCTCCCCCAACACATGCAAACAGCCCTACAAGTGCTTTTTAAAACACGAAACCCACAGAGGCTTCTTTAGCCAAGCCGCTCCAAACCAAGCCATTTAAGCAACACCTTCCTCCCCTGACAGTTTTCCTCCTGCCTTTCATCCTGGCCCTGGCAGAGCGGGGCTGCAGGCAAATGGCTGGGCGCTCAGAAAACAGAGAGAGAGGTGAAAGAGATTCTGAATCTTCTTTCTGAGCTATTTGCAAAAAGCATCAAGGACACACAGTTCAGCGCAGTCCCGCAGCCTCACACCAGGGCCCCACCCTGAGATCACAGGGTCCCTGGGGGCCCTGGCTCACCGGAAGCAGTAATTGGTGTCCAGGGCCCGCTTCTTCCTCTGCCCGCCCTGGCCTGGGTTGTCGAGCCGGTGCGGGGGGATCATCATGAGGATTAGATGAGGATTGTGGTGGTCCCTCTGCTTCTTGAGGCGCCCCAGGTCGCCACGTCCATGGTCATCCTCGTTGTCCACACCTGCCCAAGGGAAGCGAGGAGACACTGCTAAGGAAAGCGGGATGCAGGGGCACCAGTGGGGCCTGCTTATTTCGTTCCTGCCCCCTCACTGCCCAGCACAGGAGTCTAATGTCTAAGTGCAGAAAGAGGACGGCCAGGGGAAGGAACCCAGGCCCAAGAGCTCGCTTCCTCTCATCAGGATCCCACTTCGGGATGCTCGGGCCCTGGTCCCTTCAAGACCCCTGTGCCTGCCTCTTCGAGGTGCTTCCTGGGAATCTCCCCAGGGCAGTGAGACACAGGTGCGTCCCAAACACAGCCCTGGGCTTGCCGGCATCTGTTCCAGACAGAATCCTGGAGTGTCCATTTTCTGTGAAAATCCAAACTGGCCAAGCTAACATTGATGTTTTAGCTACGATTTAACCTGTGAACAGTTTAATTTAGGCTGAATGAAAGCGAGGCTCGTGTCTGCACGGCACGTAGGTGTCGCAAGTGCTCACTAAAAACTCACACTGCCATCAGTCGATCCTGGCTTATACACCCCCTTGGGACAGGCAGAACTGCCCCTGTGGGTTTCTGAGATGGTGCATCTTCAGGGGAGTAGAAAGCGTCCTCTCTCTCCCATGAATCGGCGGGTGGTTTGGAACTGCTAAGCCCAACTTTTTTTTTTTTTCATTTTCTCTATAAACCCTGCATAAGCGAGGTCTCAAAAAAATTGGTTAAAGACTCAGCGTTGTTTCTCTCTGTGGAAATCTTTAGTAAAAGGCGAAAGATGTATACACTCTGAAGAGAAACCAGAGTATAAGCCCAACTCTTCACCCACACACCAGCAGGGCTCCTTTAAAAACGCTACCACTGTGTGAGCACGAAGTCTATAACGCGGCAGGCAGCAGATTCTGTGGAGAAAACCTCTTTCATCTGAAACGGAGAAGCATGAAGACAGACTTGGAGGGTCAACAAAATGAGGTGCGATTGGGGAAGGACAAGAGCCAAGCCCACTGCCGTCAAGTTGAAGTTCAAAGACGGAGGAGTGCTAGCTGCCTGCCGAGTTTCCCTGGTTGTAAGCTTCACAGCAGCCGCTTTCTTCATCCCTTAGTGCGGCAGGTGGGTTCCAGTGACCCACCTTTGGTTAGCGGCCAGTGCTCACCCCTGGCACCGCTAGGCAACCTTCTGTGCGAGGCATCCACCAGCTACTGCTCAGCTCCCAGGGACAGGGGCACGAGGATGCTCATTATACAGCTAGACCCTCCCAGGAAGGGCCGCCAAGATGAATGAGAAACCTGGATCTCAAATGCTGTCATCTGAAAAAGCGTGACCCTGCAAGATCAAGGGTTCACTACAGAGGAGTGTCCCGGCCTCGGCTGGCGGTAGGCAAGAATGTCAGAGGTCTTCTGAGCCCTGAAGGAATCCCGGCAATGCTGCTGGGCAAACATTAGGCTGCTGACCACAAGGTCAACAGTTCCATCCCACCAGGCGCTCCAAGGGAAAACGTGGAAGCCGCTGTTCCCGTAAAGATTAATGGCCTCCAAAACACTATATAGGGTTGCTGTGGGTCGGAACCAGCTCCAGGGCCATGGGTTTGGTCTGGCTTAGTTCTGAGTTCCAAGGGTCTGCACAGGATGCCAAACCAACACCGAGCCCTGGGGTGAACGGAACTGCCCAAGCAGAGAGCCAGGTGAGGCCCACCCCTTTGTCCAGACCAGCCTGCATAGCATCCTGGAAAAAGAAGCCCACCCTCCCTAGTTTAAGACCATAGAGCAGGATGGATTCAAATCCAGGCTACTCGACCAACTTCAAGCTTCCCAACAGCCCACTGCCTTCCAGATGCCACCGTCTGTGTGTCTATCAGCTGTACTCCCCAGTCACTGTTCTTGGGGTAACGCAGAATCACTCAAGTGTCCAGGAGAGCTGGTCATCGCTGCGGGTGAACCTGGGTCCTTTTTCTTGATGTCTGCCCAGTAGGGGTGTCCTGTGGTGCCTCATTTCCTCCCTGCCTCCCTCCCTGACCCGTCCATGCTGTTACCTTTGAATTTGATTTCCATCACCTCGTGAACATTTTCCAGGATGTCCCCATTGGGCTGAAAGGTGTGACACGGACAATGGATGCTGATTTCCAGCCCCAAGTTGGACTCTACAAGAGAGGACAGAGAGTCAGTGGGGAAGGGTACCCACCACCCATCCACACCCAGAACCTCTCCTTCCGCAGCGAGCGTGTGGTCACGAGCAGGCCACCAGAGACAGAGTTCCGGCCCAACTCACCATGGGCCTTCCCATATAGGCTGCCCGTCCTCAGTGCATGTCTCTTACCTTAGGAACGATCAGAGGGGGGTGTGAACTGAAGGGCACAAGGAGGGGGGACAGTCATGGATGTCCAAAGGACAGAAGAAGTCAGAGAACACTGCCCCGGACATACTCGGGGAGGGAGGAAGGGTGCAGGAAAGAAAGGAAAACCAGTGACCTAGCTAAGAGTTGACTGGGAGAGCGGAAACTCAAGACAACCGGAGGCAGGATGAAGAAACCTGGAGACCAGCAACAAGGGTTGAGCCGAGAGGAACGGTCTTACCTTGATTCAAGGGACTACAAGACAGAAGGTGGGACAGGCTGGGAAATAGGATGAAAAGCTAGGGATATGCTAGAAGCAAGATCACCTGAAAGCGAGCAGCCAACACACTCTAACTAGAAGGCTTGGCTAGGGTCGATTAATCTGGCTGGAAGGTGGCCGCATTCCTACCCCGGCTATGATTGTGGACGTAGAAAACATGGAAGAGTTAAGACGGAAATCCTGGTGGCTCTGGGCCATATGTCCCTAAGGAGCAGTGACTCATTCACGTAATGGGAAGCTAGGGATGGGAATGGCTCCGGGAGGGAAGTCAACCCCCGGGGAGGACAGGTGTGGAGTTGGAGAGGAGGTGACGCAGGGCCACAACCAAGGGTCCAGATGACGTGTGCTCTCCGAGAAGAGGCAGGGAGCCCAGAGACACCGAGATAGGGACCTGTCTGGTGCAAGAGGCCAGCTTTATTCAGTTCTCCTGGTGTGAGACCAAGTGTTATGGCCACCAACAGCAGGATGTTGTTGGAAAAGGATGCCGAGTGTACTAGGGGAGGGGGAAGGGCAAATCAGAAGTAACCGAAGAGTCCAGCCTGAATCAGGTAGTGCAGGGAAGCCAGAGCAGTTCTGGTAAAATGCATGCACAGGCGCTCTCTTGAGCCTGGGCAGCAGACAGGTGTCATGGGGGATGAATTTTTCTCCCTTTATTTATTGCTCCCTTGGGGCCAACCAGGCCTTTCCTGAAATCGGGTGTCATTATGGACAACGTCGGCATCCAGGCAGAATTCGCGTCCTCTTCCTGGGCAGAAGGACCCAAGTCCAGAGACTCCAGTTACTATTCAGAGGGCCTGCATGTCCCAGTCCTACTCCCTAAAAACACCTCCATCCCTCTACAAACTCCAGAGTTCAAGCAGCTGTCTCCAGGGCAAGTCAGGGCCAACCTCGGGGACACACCGATGACTCCTGTGATGGGCAATTTTAGATCCTGACAGTTGGCTCTGGTGGAAACCAATCGACTAATAAGGCGGCTGAGTTGCAGCTAGAAGAAAAGACAAGGAAGCTAGGAGAAGGAATCGGAGTAGTTGAACTGGACTACCCAAGGACATCATGTACTTCTTGTGACCTCCAAGGGTTCAAGGTAGGATGGGAGAGACCCCGAGGGGGCAGATTCCGATTCTGTGAGGTATGAAGGCAAGGTGCAGACCCTGACTTAGCAGAGCTGCGCGATGTACAGGTGGTAAAGATGAGGTGGTGGCCTGGCTTGGCCAACAGGCTCTCCATAGATGGAAGGGTCGGGGGTGAATGGTACCAATCAATGACATTTATTCATGGACCATGAGTCCGTATCAAACCCTGCTCTCAGCACTTACATGCATGCTCTCATTTGATGGCTGGAATAATCCTGCCCAGTAGGAACTCTTACTAACCCCATTTCACAAATGAGACCACTGAGGCCTAGAGCAATCAAGTGACGATTGACCCAAGGCAGCCGACCCGTAAGGAAGAGTCAGGAGGAAAATGTAGGGAGCTTATTGCCTGAATCCACACTCCTTATTGGGGATAAGGAGAGGCAGAGACCACCAAAGCAGGTGGCCACAGACCCCCTGAGATGTAAAATGGTTCTGTTTTCCTGGTGTTCACCTCTGCTGAGCCCTGGCACCCGAGTGGCCCCTGCCCAGCCTGCTAGGCAAGGGCCGGCTCTGCATACCACGAGACAGCAGTAGCCCAAGAGTCTGAGGACGTGCACCCCTGACCTTGCAGAGGGCTCTGAGCAGCTCGACCAGAAAGCAGGCCTGCGTGGCCGGGGGCAGCACGGGCTCTCAGACGTGTGTCCTGTGCTGAATGACTCCAAGACCCTGTGTGACTCCGCTTCTTCAACAACCCACACCACCAACTCACTGCTCCCCCTGCAGGCCATTCCCTGCCTTGTCTGGGGCCTGGACGAAGAACTCCCGAGCTCTGTGGATCAAAAGCCCGGATTATCCCATGGGAGGGGTGGGCAGCAACGGGAGTGGGGACTGAAGGTTCCAGTGGAGTTCGAACCCCAGTTGTCGTTCTTGTCACCACCCGCCGCAGTGGGAGGAGGGACACCCATAGGTTGTATTACGAAATTATCGTTTTGAAGTATCAAGGAGGGTGGAAATCCTTCTCCAGGCAAACTTCTGGTGGCGTTTGCAGCTGTGAAAATAAGAATGCCTTCCAGTGCGCAGGGCGGGCTTCAGAGACATCCAGGTGGAGCTGATCAAAATCAGACCGGGAAGGAAGCTAGGCGGTCCACTTCCCCAGCCTCTCCTCACGGCTGCCACGCTGGGCTCCAGGCCGAGGGACGTCTGAGTCAGAGTTCCCAGCCGTGGTGTTCATTCGGCAGAGCCTGGTGGCTGCTCCTCGGTGTTGGCCGTCATGCTCAGTGGCTATGCGAGTCCAGCAGGAGAGGGGCCGTGCCTGATCTTCCAAGTAAGGACCCTTAGTCCGTGGCTGAGATATTCTGGTTGTAGGCGGACTGGACAACGCTACTTGGATGGCTAAGCCATGGCGAACAAGTGGATTCCCACTCATCTGGACCCTCCGGGACGGAGTAGACCTGTCTCCTAGGGTTGCCAAGGCTGGAAATCTTTACCCAAACAGCCTCATCTTTCTCCCACAGAGCAGCCGGGGGGCTCAAACCCCCGACCTTTCTGTTAGCAGGTGAGCGCTTTAACCACCAAACCCATCGGACGTGCGTGACTAACTAGTAGGCTTTTCAAACGTTGTGGGTCAAAGACAAGCCCGCTCCCCCACGCCCCAGAGTCTCCCCTATTCCAGCAAGCGGTACCACCCAGAGAGTCCATCTAAAAACTTGGACATCACCCTGGACAACCCTGGCTTCCTCACACCCCTTTCTCAATGGGCTTAGCCTCCGCACTAAGTAACTCCTGGTCCCCATCGCCACTGCACGGTTCCTAGCTAGCCGCTTACTCTCCCCCCTCACTGGTTGGCCCGCTTCATTCCTGACCTCCTTGGCAGTCAGAGGGGTCTTTTGAAGCTGGACGCCAAACGCCTGGCTCCCCGCACTCAGCCCTGCTTCTTCTCCCACTTGGAGTAGGTGCAGCACCCTTCCCCTGGACTAGGAGCTGGGGCCCCTAACAAGGGAGCCCCAGCCCATGGCCGCGATGGGCTGCTCTATCTGCAGCCAGATCTGGCGCAGTGTGGACCGCGGGGATCCAAGGAGTTCATGCTCAGAAACCGATTCCACCCTCCATCGAGCCCTCCTTCTGAGGCTGGCAGCTGTGCTGGGACCTGCTCTCTGTCACAGCCCCACGTGAGCAACATGGGTCGCCCATAGCAAGAGCAGGCATCCTGCACCACCGCCTGCTGCCCACAGCTTCCGATGACTCCGATTCAGGCCACTCTCGCCCACCCACCCAGCCACATCCGTTCGTCACTACAGCCGGAACACGTCAAGCGTGCTCCCACCTGAGGCCGGGGACCTCGCTGCTTGCTGGGCTTAGAACATCCTTTCTCCCAACCTTCATGGGCGGGCTCCTTCTCCCCTCCTTGGTCAGATCTGCAGGGAGGTCTCTCTTGGACAAGCCACTAACGTCGGATCCCACTCAGTCAGGCGCCCCTTCCCTGCTCTCTGGTTTTCGTGGTCATGACTGCTCTCTTGCATGCTCGCCAGCTCTGCCAGGCTGGTGAGTGGTGTAGGATGTGTCTCTCCCACAAGAACAGAGCCCCTCAGAGACCTGAGGGCCCCCCTGTCTCATTTGCTGTCAAACCCCGGCTCTGGAGGAGCCTTTGATGTGCGTCAGCCCCAGGAGCTAACTGAGTGTACACAACACAGAGTCCCAGCCTGTGACTGCCCTGGCCCTGCCCTCCCCTGTTTCATGAAGGCCCGAGGGACCCTCCCAAGAGATCAGCCTACCTCTCCTCACCAGCCACTCCCGCACGGTGTCAGTGACGTCAAAGGACAGCCACTCAGCGGTGCCCCGTGTGGGCAGGTTCTTGCCACTGATGTAGCGCTGTTTAGCAATGTGCTCATCCGGCCCAAGGATCTGCAGGACGGAGAATGAATGGAGTCAGCACCCGGGGTGGGGGGGGAAAGTGGCACCAGATATGCTCAGTGGAGGGGGAACAGGTGATGGGCAGAGGGCCATGCCAAATTGTGAGCACCATGTCCTTCATGTTCCGGCATGTTGTCAGGAGAGACCAGTCCCTGGAGAAGGACATCACGCTTGGTCAAGCAGAGGGGCAGCATAGAAGAGGCCGGCCCTTTGGGAGATAGATGGGCACAGTGGCGGCCACGGCGCCTGACCGGGCAGGCTTTCGTTCTGTTGTGCACAGGGTCCCTGTGGGACAGAGCCCACTCGATGGCACCCGATAGCCACCCGTCCTTCAAACACCCTAGCCAGCTCTGTGTATCCGCGTCGTGACAGATGCTGCTGCTGCTGGGTGCCTGGGAGCCCGATCCAGCCCATGGCGGACCCGTGTCCAGCACAAGGACACACCGCCTGGACCTGCACAATCATCGCTGCAGCTGCTGAGTCAATCCACTTGGTGGAGGGCCTGCCTTTCCCCCCCACCTCCCCCCCACTGCCCTTCTACTTTCCCAAGCACAGTGTCCTCCTCCGGGGACTGGTCTCAACTGACAACACCTCCAAAGTACCGACTTACACGTGCAGAAAGGCAGGTGCAGCCAAAAGGCAGGCCGGCCAGCCCTGCACGGTGCAGAGGCCAGTCCAGTGGCGGGGGTGGGGGGAGGGGCGCACGTACCTGGAAGAGCTCAAGCCTCTGCTCGTTGCGCTTGGAGCTGGGGTTGGGCACACGCAAGATCCGGAATTCGGCTCGGAACAGGTTGGTCCGATTCTTCTCCACGGAGGACACGTTGAAGCGGAAAACCTTGGAGGTGATGCCTTTGGGGCAGACGGCCAGCTCGTCTGGATGAGCAGAGAGCGAGACTCAGCACGCGCGCACGCGCGCGCGAGGTCACAGGCCCAGGGCTCTGACTGCACCGCCACCACTGCCAAGGCCCCACCTGGGGTCTTCCCAGTGGCTTGAAGAATCGGGGTGCCCCTATGTCAAAACAGATCTGAACAGTGAACCCCAGGAAGTGGCCCTGAAGCCTCCACCTGCTGGCCTGGCTATGATGATCACGATGAGCATTGTGATCGAGGAGATCCCAACTCACGGGGAGCCCACAGTGTCGCAGCAGGACTGTGCTCCACAGGGCTCACAGCGGCAGATTCCCAGGCCTTTCCTCCAAGCAACCTCTGGGAGGACTTGGCCGCCAACCTTTCTGTTAGCAGCACGGATGGACCATGTCTGCCATCCTGAGACTCCTGGCTGTTCTGACTCCTTTAGAAAATACGGAGTCTCAGAAGGAGTCCGCATCCCCAGCCTCCCCGGCAGTTTAATCACACCGTAACTCGTTGATTCATCCACCTATCTGTTCATCCAGACGTTGATTCATTTTCTCTAACATGTACTGAGCAAATCCTACAGGGTTGAACATGGGAAAGCAGGTGAGTAGACACGGCTCCTGGCGGCCAGAGAGTTACAACTCAGAAGGGGTTACTACTACAGAGACCCCAAGAGCAGCCCCCAAGGGAAAGAGCCAAGAGCCTTCGGAGAAGCCAGGACTTGCTGCAGGTAGTCATGGGGTGGGGAGAGCAGGAGGGATTGTATAGAGGCAGTGCTTGATCTGGGCTCAGCAGGACGAGAGTGGGGAGAGGACGTTTGTGGAGGGAAGGCTGGTCAGGGAAGAAATGTTAGTGGGCAAGTAGGGCTGGGAACAAGAGCCCCCCAGTCCGGACATGGGTCCAGGGGTCTGCCTGTGGGAAGGCTGAAATGTCAGGCGGAGGGAGCAGCTGGGTTTGTCCCATGCACGGTAAGAAGGCTGGAGCAGGCAGCACGTGACTGAGTCAGTGCTGTATTGTAGACCGAGCCAGGCAGGCCCAAGTTCATCAGCCCTGGGCGGCTTTCCCGGTGAGGTGCCTTTCCTGAGCAAGCACATATCGCCGTCCCACCAGTCCCTGTCACCTCCCTGGCCCGCTCACCCTCCCAAGAGTCAGAGGCATGGAGAGCTTTTTCCTGGTGTTTGGAGCCAGGTAACGAGAACGAGAGCGCTCCTGTTCACTTGCCACCCTGAAGGTCCAAGCAGCGTGAACACCCAGAGAAAAGCAATGTACGCACATGGCGGCGGCAGCCAGCCCAGCAGCCAGACGTGAAATTCAAGCTCAGAGATCCAGACTGTGCACAAGGTGAGCCCAAGTGGAACACGTGCATCATCACCCCAGGGGGTGGCCAGGGGGTACCGGACAGGGTGAGACGGACCTGAGGCCCGGAAAAACAGGCCAACGTGCCACTGATCTTCAGGAAGGGGCAGGTGAGGGTTTCTGGAGGCGGCCATCTGCTGAGTCTGACACTGGAGCTTAGAACATTAGCGGAGTAGATGTTTGGAAGCCAAATGTGTGAATGCTGGCTAACGAGGCCGTGATTAGTCATTGGCTCGTTGCTGGCGGCAGTAGGAGGAGGAGCCAGTGAAAGTGATTTCGTTCATCGGTATACACGGAATGCCAGTCCCTCGGGCCCTGCAGGCGCTATTGTCCACCTGGCTTCCCTGAGCAGCGAAACTGAGACCGGGAGCACGATGCTTGCGAAGGAGGGCAGTGTGTGCAGCAAGGGGGTGGGGAGGGGTCAGAGGACTCACTACATGGCCCTTCCGCCTCAGTTTCTTCCCACCCGCAGGTCAAACACAAACTCAGCGAGTCAATGCCGACTCATAGCAACCTTACAGGACAAGGTAGACCTGGCCCCTCGAGTTTCCAAGACAGTAACTATTTATGGGAGTAGATAGCCTTTGTCTGCCTCCCATGGAGTGGCTGGTGGTTTCGAACTGTGGACCCTGGGGATCGCAGCCCGATGCGTAACCACGACGCCACCAGGGCTCCAGAGCTGTCTGCTTTTTAAAAAAAAATAAAAAAATCTGTGCTCCTCTTGGTGGGAATGTCTAGGGAAGCGCTGTGAGGCCGTCTAGGGCCGCCCTCTTCTGATGGACAGGGAAGCCCCCGAGAGGTCTTGGCCAGGCCCACCCTGTGAGTGGCCACTCGAAAGCAGAGTCCAGCACACTCACCAGTGACAGAAAGAATGGCCCAGGAGGGAAAAGAAGATGCCAAGAGGATCTTCTTGACAGCCAATGCCCTCAGTGATGAGGACGCTCTCTCTGCATCACCCGCGGAAGGAGCCCACGTGTACACGAGCGGACACGAGATCACACCACCGGTTGAGTCCCGTGTTAAGAACTCATCTGCCTCTGGAAGCGCCGTGGAGGAGAAATGGGAGCCCCGTTTCCCCATGAGGACACTGAGCGGCGGAGAAGTGGCATGGCTTTTTGAGATGTGAAGGCACTGCCCATGTCTTGATAACACGGATGGTAGGGAAGCTGGAAAAGGCTTCCGCCACCACGCGGCTCGGCGAAGCCTGTCCTCAGATCCCCTTAGCAAAATCCTGCAGGATTACAAATGGGATTACAAGGTGATGTGTCTGACTCCCTGGAAAGAGGGTGTGGAATCCTCCCGACATCATGCAGCTCTCTCTCTCTGACTTCAGAGACGAGGGCACCGAGGTTCACAGAGGAGGCGTGTCTACGTGCACACTTACAGGAGGGCTCATGAAGCTGTGGGTGGTGCTCCGTGGCTGCTGACTGTAAGGTCGGCCATCGAAACCCACCAGGGATGAAGATGAGGCTGTTCGCTCCCAGTGAGCGTTTCAGTCACAGAATGCCCACACGGGGTCATGAAGAAGGGGCTCCACTTCCCAGCTGTGAGCTGACAGTTGCTTTTCAGTCCACCTAGGGTGGTGCAAACGGTAACAGGCTGGCCTGCTCAACAAAAGGCTCATGTTGAAATCCACCCAGAGGTGATTTGGAAGCAAGGTCTGGCATTCTCCTTCCCCAAACTGAGCCACAGAGCAGCCCGGGCGGCCCCGTTCTCCATGAACACCTGGGGTGGCCATGCGTTGGAGCAGGTGCAAGGGCAGCTGGTTTCGATTTGGGTAGTCTGCTTGAGACACTTCATTATGTCAGTAACAAAAGCCACACTCACTGCCGTCAACCCCATGCTGACTCATAGCAACCCCTTAGGATAGGGCGGGAACTGGCCCCGTGAGTTTCTGAGGCTGTAACTCTATATGGGAGTAGAAAGCCCTGCCTTTCTCCTTTGGAGCAGCTGGCGGTTTCGAACTGCAGACCTTGCAGTGAGCAGCAACGTGCGTAATCACAACACCACCAGGGTCCTAATGTAGAGAGATCCTTCTCATTGAATTTGTGTGAATCTTCTGGGCCAAGACAGGCAGAGTTAAGACCGAGCAGACCCACGTATGCCAGGGCAACCTGCCACCTGGCTTCCTGAGACCAGAGCCCCTGTCCCTTCTGCTTGGCTAGCATGTGATTCATTGATGCTGTGAACCCAAGTCCTATCGGAGCCTCGCGGTTAAAGGTGGGACTTGAAACGGACCTCTCACACCCCGGAGTGCTCAGCTGCCCATGTCCTCTGCACACTGATAGCCTGGCGTGCAGTCGTCGCTCTGTTTGGGCTTTAACTAAAACATCTTCGTTTCCTTGTGGGTGAAATGGCAACACAGGTTGCCTGTGACAAAACTGGGGCCCTTAGTGGCAGAGGTAGAATTCTCACATGCTGTCTAGAAGACCTGAGTTCAATTCCTAGGCAGCCACTGTCTCTCTGTGAGGGGGTAGGGGTGGGGCAGGGCCTAGGATGTTGCTATGGTAGGGAATGGGTTTCAGGAAAGTTTGCAGACTGAGAGTAGGAAGAAAGGCCTGGCTACCCACTTCCAAGAGTCAGCCCAGGAAAGCCTGTGGATCACAATGGTCCGACCAGGAGTCACTTGTGGCATGGCACAGGCGCCAGGTGTGTTCTCTCTGCTGTGCGTGGGGCGATCGGGAGCCAGGGGCTGGTGGCGCAGCCACGGCTGCCACAGCCAGCGTCAGAGGCCAGGCCCGCTCTCTTCGCTCGCTCTCTGCCGTGGGGCCCTTTCTCCTGCTCTCTTGGAAATGATTCTTTCAGGCTCTTTACCTTTCCATTGGGACCAAGTCTCCTGGTCCCTGTCCCCACTGTCCCTTCCCGCCGAGTGTCCCCTAGGAGGGACGGACAAAAGGTAGACAAACGAGAGCAGGGCCTCATCATCCATCCCACAGACCCTGCCTGTGTCCCACCCTGGCCCGGCGCCACGCCCGCCCACCCCAACACGTGAGGACAGGCTTTGCACACCCCAAGCCTCTGATGATGGCGGGCAGCGCCCGAGAGGGAGACATCTGCTGGGCGTCCGCGCCTGCCCCTGCCCGCTGCCTTCTTTATAATTAGTGGGCCGGCCTCTCACGGCTGGTTGAGCACCTGGCCAGCTGCAAGGCGGGCGTGGCTGTGTCTGCTCAGCCTCCCTGTCACCTCCAACAGCTGCGAGTCTGGGTCTGCTTCCTGTCCCACCTGCCAGCCGGTGCGCCCTGCACTGGGTGCTGACCCCTGCTCGCTTCCCTGTGGCCTCAGGGCCACCCACACCTGCTGCAGTTGCAAAGGCCTGCTGCCATTGCGGGCAGGGGGTGGGGGGTGGGGAGGGTTGGCCAGCACCTGCAGCCCTGCCCTGGCTGTTCCCATGGGAGCCCCCACTCCGAGGGGACTGCACCCAATCCGCATCCACCTGCACCTCCTGCCCTCCGCATCCACCTGGCTCATGCGTTCATGAAGCAGGTCCTGGCCAGGGCCCTGGTGACCCAGGGACTCCCCTCTCCTCAGGCCTCTCCTGGGGGCCTTAGCTTCCCACTTTCCTCTGACATGCGGGCCCACTAGCCTGTCTTCATGGGTGCCCACAAACTGGGAACGTAGCCTTCCAGCTGCTGGGTGCCTTTTGGCATCCCTGGGCTCCTGAGCCAGACTTACCCGGAGGACCCCAGGCAGAGAGCACTCACTCTGCCCTGGCCTCTGCCCCACACGGCAGGCACAGGGCACTGGTGTGGAAACCCCTCGCCAGGAACCACAGGCGTGGACTAGCTCTGAGAGGGGCCTCTCTCCTCCAGCCCCGCCTGCTCTAACCCACCAGCCACCCTCTCCTCTGCCTTCACTGGCTCCACTGACTGCCCTCCGCCACTCCCCGCCCCCACTTCACCCTGTACTGGCCCCCTCCCAGGTGGGTCCCTGGCGAGGTAGTCGGGTGGCGAGGACACCTGCTGGTAGGAAAAGCAAAGGGAGCGGATCGGGGCCCACAAGTGACCCACATTCCTCCTTCTGGGGCCGTCTTGTCAGTTTCTCAACATCTGCCAGAGTTTTCTCTCTCTCTCTCCTATTGGGGTTTCTCAAATCCCCGTTTAGTAAACACACATGACTTCCACACGTGTACAAACACACACACAGACATCTCGCCCTGCAGCCTCCCAGCTTCTCAGCACAGACCGGGGCGCCTCCTGGGACGACCCGCTCCCAGACACACATGCCCTCTGCACCCCCAGCCACACCTCCACCCACACAGCCCCGCTCTGCAGACGCAAGCTGGCAGGCAGCTCCCATCTGCATGCCTGGGTCCGCAGTCCTGCCTCCCACCCCCCCTCCCCACCGCCTGCAAAGAGACCTGTCGGAAGCACCAAGGCTGTGCACACGTCGCCCTAAATTGGCTGTCCATGTCCACGCACGGGGTGGGGTGGACAGAACGATCCAGACAGTAAGAAGTGGCGCCTGGTGTGGGCTTCGCCAGACACACTGCACCGCGAGAGAAAGATGGGGCAGCCTGACAGCCTCGGGAGCCCTCTGGAGGGGGTGTCCTGATGGGCACCACGGCACGGGGACTGTACGCCTCTCCCAGAGCACTGGAAACACCGAACTGGCGCTGTGGCACATGAGCCGTAAAAAGCAGCAAGGAGTCCCAGGTCTTCAGACCCACAGAACTCGGGCTAGGGCGGGCGGCCCTGCCCCTCTATGGCACCCACATGCATGCAGCGCACAGCGCAGTTGCATGTGCGAGTGTGCATATAGTTCTCTGGGCAGCCCGGTGCGATTCCAAATGAGAACCAGTCCGGGAGGTGAGGGCACTTCCGCCAGCTGCTAGCCTCCCAGGAGCCCCCAGCTCAGACCAGAATGGCCCTGTCCCTCTCCCCTCCGGAGCCCCCAACTTCACAGCCTCCCAGCCACTCCGGGGGCCGGTGAACCTCGGAGCAACCTGGAGCGGGGCCACCAGGCGCCCCCCTTCTGCAGCTGAGCGCTCCAGCCCAGCCCCTCCAGAGAAGACACCCCTGAGGGAAGTGGAACTTACTGTGCTCCGCCAGCCCCTGGATCATGTCGAATTTATGGATTTCTTTGGCATAGTATTCTGACTCGGTGTTCTCCTGCGCGCAGCCTTCCTCCCTCAGCCCGTGCATCTCCTCCAGCAGTTCCCGGGTGCTATTGTAAAGGGCCAGGACCTGGTAGGGGACATGGGTCATCGTCGATGGCTCAGGGGGGCTGGTGAGCCTCAGCTTGCTCAAGATCTGTCCCCTGATGGCTTCCACCCTCTTCTTCTTGATGTGGCCGAAGTCCAAGGTGGTGCAAGTGGACAGAGAGAGGCTGACTGTGGCGAAGTTCAGCAGGGCGAGGACCACCAAAGCCCTTGACCAGTGCATCTTCATGTGGGAGCCGGAGAGCGAGGCGGGGGGGCGGCGAGGCCTGGCGCAGGGCAGACCCCAGCAGATGAGCAGCCGGAGGAAGGAGAGCCAGGCGGCCTCCCCAGATCCCGGAGACTGGGGCTTGGCAAGAAGGTGCATGAACTCACTGCACTGCGAGAGCTTCAGGACTTCCAGGAAGCGCTGGCAGCCCAGAAGACGGAGCAGCGGCGGCGGACTGTGTGCCCCGTCGTGCCGGGATTCTTCTCCATGTATCTAAACAGGTTCTGCTGGGCTCCGACTCCCAGCAGGCCAGGTGGAGGGCAAGCCGAGGGCTGGGAGGGGTGTTGAGGCAGCTGGGAGCAGGGCAGGAGCTGGAGTTTTCCCTTAGGTAAAAATAAATAGAGCGGTTATCTGATATTGCCAAAGGCAGCTTGGCGATGGGGAGGAAGTCCGTGTTTTAAAGAAGAGGTTGGTCCATAGCTGGGTTCCCAAATCCAAATCCTCGCTTGACTCTGAGGGGGAATCAAAGCGGATGGAAAAGAAAAAGCGGGGGAAATGTTTTTAAAAAGAAAAAGAAAAAAAAAAGTCAGATCACCAGTGAGTAGGTGGGGAGAGGCAGGGCTGGGCGGCTGCTGGCCCAGCTAAAGGTGGGGGCAGTGCAGGACACACTTGTCTTGGGACACCCCATTCATGCGTTCCCTTTTGTTTACACTTCCGGGGGTGGGGGTGGTGGGGCTTTCTAACTGACTTGACTCCCGTTGCCTCTGGTCTTCATTGGCTGGGAAGTGAGGGTATGTGTAATTCAAAGGCGGGGAGACCAGTCCCCCAAATCCACTTGATCGCCAGGGTCACCAGGACCCCAGCCGGTCTTCTCCCTCGGCCATGGCTTCTCTTCCCAGCTTCTTTTTAAAAAGGGAAAGAAAGAAAAAGAAATGGAAAAAGAATCTAAGAAGGCAGTTCACGGCACCCTGCTCCGCGCAGCTGCTCTTGCTTCCTGGGGCCTCTTCCCCTAGCCCCCTTGCCTGGGTCGCGCTCCTTCCCTCGGATGGACGGGCAGACGGACGGAGCTGTCGGCTTCCCTCCCTTGCTCGCCCTCCAGCTTCTCCCTCTCTCGCTCCTTCCCTTCTCCCCCTCTCTCTCACTTACACACACACACACACACATGCACACACACTGCTTTCTCTATTTCTCTCGGCTGAAATTTTATACCTCCCTCCCATGACGTCTCGGGGCCCGGGGTGGGGGGGTAGGG